GATCTGGCCCCTGACCCCTGCACTTTGCTTTCTTCTAGAGCTGCTCTGACAATTCCCTTGAGGATCCCAGCCACTCTGACCCCAGTGCCCACTGATGACTGCTGACAACCCCTCTCAGGTTGACAAGAAGTCCTGGCCCCCGCACTGCTCTGCTTCTGGCTGCAGTTTGGCTTCGGGTTCCAGACTGGCTCTCGGTTCCAGGCTGGGTCCTGGGTAGTGATCAGACTCTGCTCAGGAACAGTCTTCGAGGGACTGAGGCTCATTTCTGGGAAGGTAAGGATGTTCTCAAACCTGACCGCAGGTGAGACAGCAGCTACTGGACAGAGCGCCCATCTCCACCCCACCCCACAGTTTCCTGGAGAAATTCTAAGAGAGTCAGTTTGAGCTCCTGCTGCTGGCGCCCAGATCCTGGGGTCTTCCTACGGTGGGGAACAACCAGTTTGAGCAAAACTGGTTTGTGGTGTGTCTGTCCTCTCAGGAGCTAAGTTAATACAAGAAACACTTCTTAAAGGTGAATAAAATGTGTACAGGTTCTACAGGACTCACAGTTTATAGGGGGAATTTGGCTTGTTCACAGACACAAATACACACACCCACACACCCACATACAAATGAATTCCAACTGGCAGTTTTTACCTTTCAGAGGATTATCCAGCAACATAGTTCTTAGGTAAGGCTTTTGTGAACCTGTACACCTAATTTAGTTCTTTGCATTCCCTAATTACAAAATTGGTACATACATTCTCCTTGTAAAAAGTTAGAATTACATAAAATGAAAAATGGGTGTTCATCCTAACAAACCATTTTTTATGCATTTGCACATTTCAAAATACATGTAAATATGTTTTTCACAAATGTTATATACTATTTGTGTATGAAAATTTCACTTTTCATAATACATCAAATGATCTTAACATGTCTGTGCATATGTATATTTTATTCTTTAGAACTCTAATCTTCCAGTCTATGAGTGAAACATAAATTAGTCATAACCCTATTGATCTGTGGGTTGTTTAGAGTCTTTTCTGTTATAAGCAGAGACTGTTATAAAGAGCATTGTTGTAAATAATGCTAAGTGAATAAATGTCTTTTATTCAGAACACAAGATCCATATCTGTGAGATAATTTTCTAGAAGTAGATTTACTGGGCTAGAGGATATCCCCTTTCGAATTTCTAGAGCTATTGATAAACTAATATGCTTAGAGTTTATCAATTTACACCCTCAAAGGCAGTGTATGAGGTTTTGTTTTGACATAGCCTATACCAGAATGTCAGTAAATCATTTGATTTGTGTCATTGGTATCTTATTTTGGTTTTATTTTTATATTATTGCTTAGAATCATTATATTTCTTCTTTGGGTGAGCTCTCAACCACTTTTCTGGTTTACCTTTTGGACTGTTGGGATTTTCTTCTTGATTTATGAGAACCATTCATATATTAAAGAAAGGATCACTTTTACCTGTATTTTGAGTCAAAAGTTCTTCCCTCCACCCACCCACACCTGCCACCTTTGTTGGTGACCATGGCACATGTTTGTAGGTGAATTAACTAACACTTTGTTTTTATGAGTTCTAGATTTTGTGTCATAATAGACTTTGTGATTGTAATTAACTACTACATAAAAAATTTAAATAACCATGTGGAATTTATTTTAGTGTAGTGTAAGAGGTTAAGAATCAATGACATTGAGTGCTTGCTGTTAAGCAAAAATTGTGCTGTCTTTCCATAATATGGAATGGCAATTGAAACATGGGTGCCCATTCAAGGACTACATATTCTAGTCCCTTTGGCCTACATGTGTAGCCATGTGGCCTGTAATCAAGTACAGAATTTAAGCAGAAGTGATGTGTATCACCTATAGGCCAAGACCTTTAAGAAGTTCTCTGTTCTGCCATTTAGACTAAGGCAACAGAGGAACCCATTTAAATTGTGGCACTCTAAGTTGGCAGGAATTTGGGTCCCTGAACTACCATGGTCAAGATAGCTACTCATTGACTAGGAAAATCTACTGTGATTGTTACATGAGTGAGAAACATTCTTCCATTGGGATAAGCCACTAAAATGTTGGGCCATATTATTAAAGTGGCTAGTATGGCTTTACCAATAAAGTATCCAGTGAAGAGATAGCTGTCCCTAACCACTCGTGTCTGAGCACACTTCATTTTATTCAGTGAGCACTCTGCCAACTGTCAGTGGAAGGGAAGTGTTAGTTACATAGCATTTGTAAAGGATCTGGAAGAGAGGTGATTTATCATGGGTGAATTTCAGAGTTAACCACATATTAAAGAGAGAATTCTATTCAGTGCACCTGTGTCATCCACATCACTAGACCAGGAAGAATCTGAAAGTAAAAAGCAGAAGTATATCAAACCAATCCAGGCTGATTTTAATTCAACTACTACCACTAATAATACTTCATTTAAAATAAGACATTCAAATTTAATTTAAATTAAGTGGTATACCAGGATAGTAGTGGAAAACCAGTTTTGGCTGCTGGAGATAGAATTAACAATCACATAGAACACTTAATAATAACCTATACTAAGCAAAATAGGCTTCATTTGTAAATATGAATGGATAATCAAAGATTACATCTGAGGAATACATGCAGAAGGAACAAGATGAGCTAATAAAATACCTGAAGTAAGTGAACAACAAATATTTGCTGATAAAGTGAACATTGAATTTAAAAATATTCAAGCATGACAATATGTACTTTTTCCTTTAAACTGTCCAACATCAGCCGGATTTTACAAATGCTTGACTCTTTGAAAAACTACTTTGAAAATCAATCTAGTGCCCTACAATGGTATTGGACTAGTTTGTGAATGAGTCCTCTATTTGTTCTTGTTGCAATTTGTTCAGAATCAGTTGTGATCTTTAATCAAGTGTTCAATGAAGGGAAGACCAAAGAAACGTAAAGCTTTGAAGCATTTAGCAAATTGGAATTATTGAAAACAAAGTATGTGAATAGGAAGCCATTGAATTTGTCACTACAAAAGCCAGGAAGGAAATGAACAAATCAAACAAGGAGAGCTCAAACAATGTATCTGATTTAATTTTGCAATTTTATAATTGTGTTTTGTAATTTCTTAACTTGGGAGAAGAATTTTTTGATGAGCTTCCATTTGGGGGATAAATTTACATTCTGTAATGAAAGACCTATTATTTTGCAACATCTCCAATTGTTGGCCAAATATTGAAGATAATCAGAGATAGTGAGAATTTATTTGATGAATTTTGTGTTATAAAATATTTTCTAAGAAGGATAATCTCAATAAAATAAAGAGACAGTAGATGAACCTATATTGACTGAATTATTTAAATATTTCTATACACAAAAGCATTATTAATAACCTTCACAGAGTAGACTATTCCTGAGGAATATTCCTGAGAATATTCCTGAGGAATCTCACCATATGTAGAAAGACGGCTTTTTCAATAAAATATGGGTTAAAGAGAAGAGTCTATTGAAGGTGTCAACAAATTCAAATTTATTAATGACAAAAAGCAAACTTGAAGAATATTACAATATTATGCACCAACTAAAAATAACAAGAACATATTTGTAATTAGAGTCCCAGAAAGAGAGGATAGAGACAATGTTGCAGAAAAATATTTCAAGAAATAAAGGCTAAAATATTTCCAAATATGATAGAAAATATCAAGCTATAGGTCCTAAAAGCTCAAAATACCCAAAGAAAGTTGAATATAAAAAAACACCACACCACCACATCATAGTCAAATTGCTAAAAACAAGTAACAAAGGAAAATATTAAAAGCAGCTAGTGAAAAAAAAAGACATATTCCATAGAGAAGAATGGTATAACAATGGAAACTGGATTCTAATCAAGTAGACAATGCAATGACATTTTTTAAGTCCTGAAAAAACCCTCTCAACCCAGAGTTCTAAATCCAGTTAAAGTATTCTTTAAAAAAAAAAAAATGAAGAGAAAGCAAAGGCATGATCATTTGGTCCATGATCAAAGAAGAAATCACAAGAGAAATGGGAACTTATTTTGAAAGGAATGTTAAGGAACACCCATTGTATAAAAATTTGTGGATACAGTTAAAACAGTAGTAAGAAGGTTATTTATAGCATTAAATGCTTTCTTTGAAGAATAAAGGTTTAAAATCAAGCTACTACTTTAAAGAGGTGGAAAATGAAGAGAAAATTAAACTCAAAGTAGAAAACAAGAAGGAGCAAAGAGTAGAAGGCAATGAAGCAGCAAATAGAGAAATAAAATAAGAAATCAATAAAGTCAACAGTTGGTTCTTAGAAAAATTTAATAAAATTGATAATTCCTTGATCAAGAAATAAAAGGGATATAATACAAATTACCAATATCAAGAATTACACAGGGGACATCACGAGACATTAAAATGATAATAAGAAAATTATCCATTGTCAATTTAGCTAAAAGGGATAATTAAAACATACCAAATGATCCAAGAAGAAAACATCTGAATGTCCTTAGATTTGTTAAAGAAAGTGAATTTTAAATTTAAAAAAAAATCTTTCCAGAAAAGCTCTATGCCTAGTTGACTTCGCTGGTGAATCTACTAAACATTTAAGTAAGAAATTGTATCAACCATACATCATACATTTCAGAAAATAGAAGAGGAATATTTACCAGCTCATTTCCTGAGGGAAGCATAACCTGCTATCAAAACCTGAAGAAGACATTAGGAGAAAAGGGAAATGCAGACCAATATCCCTCATGATCACAGGAACAAATATCATTGAAAAAATGACAAAACAAAGACAGTAATATATGGTAATACTAATATGCCATGACCTAATGTGAGTCATCTTAGGAATGCAAGGTTGATGAATACACTAAAAGGTCATTCAACATAAATTGTCACGTTCATAGATTAAAATAGAAAAAAATGATAATCTAAATAGATGGACAAAAATTATTTGACAGAATTCAATATGCATCCATGGTAAAACATCTCAGCACACTAGAAGGAAAAGGGGACTTCCCCAATCTGATAGAAACAGCTATGACATACCTCCAGGTAGCCATCATATTTAGTGATGAAATATTGAACATTTCAGAGTTGGGAACATGGCAATGAGATCTGCCTTTAGTGTGTTTTCCCACATTTTACTGGATGTTTTAAGCCAGTGCAGTAAGTCAAGTAAGAGAGAAAGATTATATGGGAAGAAATAAAATGGCCTTTATGTGTCCTTTACATAATTGCACATATAAAAACTGCTAAAGAAACTACAAGGATCGACAAGAACTAATAAATGAACCTAACAAGGTTACACAATATAACTTAGGTATATCTAAATCGATTGTATTTTTATATAGTAGTAAAAACAAAATGGAAAAGGAATTTAAATTTATTACAAGCCATAAAGATGAAAATATTTGGAAGTAAATCTACCTAAATCTATAAGGTAGTCCTGAGGAAAATTAAAGAAGACACTAATAAATGGAGAGATAAACCATGTTCATAGATTAGAAGATTCCAAATGGCTAAGATACCTATTTTCCCCAAATTAAAGTGTAGATTCACTATAACTGAGTCACGAACCCAGAAAGCTTTCTGATAAACTGACAAGTGATTCTAAAATTAGAATCTAAATGCTAAGAACCAAGAATAGCCAAAATAATTTGGAAAAGAAAAAAATGTTGGACACATTATACAACCTAATTTCACGATTTAATATAAAGGTTCAATAATCAAAGCACTGTGGTATTGGCTTTAGGATAGACAAACAGATCAACGCACAGAAATAGAGCCACACATAAATTGTCAGCTTATTCTTTGACAGAGGTGCCAAATTAATTCTATGCTGAAAATACAGTCTTTTTACTAATGATGCTGGAAAACTGGATGATAACTATTATGGGAAGATAATGAACTTCTATCCACACTTCTCAACAAAAGATTTATGGATCACAGACTTCAATGTAAAATTAAAACTATGAGCTTTGAGAAGATATCATAGGTGGATTTTTTTGTCATCTTGGAATAGACAAAGACTTCTTAGGACACAGAAAACATTGGTCATTAAAAAAATGATAAATTGGATTTCAAAACTTTAAAAATTTCAGTTTATCAAAATATACCATTAAGAAAATGCATACAAAGCCCCAGACTGGGAGAATAAATAATAAGTTGTACTTTTACATAATAATGATAGAGGAGGTACAATGAAAATAATATTCCATTTATATTATAATGTATAAAATATTTGAATCCCAGGCATAAACTTCTAACAATGAAACAAAAGGAAAAAATAATTGGAAAGTCATACCTTATGCTTGATTGTATAGACTATAATAAAGATGACAACACTTCCTAATTTAGTAAAGATATTTTAATGTAAGACTAATTAATTTTTCTCAGGATATTTTAAATAACATCTTTAAATGGGATTTCCAAGCCAAGGAAACATGCCTTTGTTTTAAGTTTATTGACTATTTCTGATAGTGCATTTTTATCAGATTGGATTCTGGCAATCAGGAATTCTAAAACCGGTCTTTGATTTGTTAGCAGATATTCAAACAAACCTTCAAAAAAAGGTTAAGAATACTGGAATAAAAATTAGGCCATGAGCAGCCCCAAATACCATAACAAGAAACATAATCTTAAAAAATGTCCTGAAGATGTATGCTTTAGCTGCAGATAAAACACACACCCCTATTACTGTTGAAAGTGCACTTTGTAACACTGGATAGCCTAGCAGATACAACGCCTCAATTGTTTTTTGGTTTACTGAGGGCTTAGAACTGGAAACAAATGCATAAGAAATGTGTGCAGAAAAATCGAAAGAAAACCCTATACAAATGACAAGATTAATCATGGATATGGAATCAAGATTGACATTCCAGAATGCCATGAAACCTGTTACTCCCATAATCACAGAAGCAATAGCAAAAGTTACCCACAAGGAACACAGTGGGTGAGGAATTAACAATAAGGAAACAATGAACATAGCGGTTGATGCAACAATGACATTTCGAACAGTATTTTCTAATATTGCAGCATACTGATCAAAATATATGAATGCATGGTTATACACCATTAGGGGAATCTCGCACTTTTCAGCTTTGCTTCGTAACTGGGATAACATTGTCTTCTTATTGATTGAAGAAGAAACACCCACAGTCTGAATGAAGCCCCGGGAAGAAATGATTTCATGTGATGATGAAATGTTAATGTCATATGTAAAAAGTGGAAAATGTGTTAAAAAATTGGGCAAATTATTCATAAAAGTATCCTTATCATTTACATCTTGCTGGCTCTTTTCTGTATATTGCACATACTCTCGTAACCAAAACTCTGTAAGACTTTTATCTACATAGTCACTGTTTTCCAAATCTGACAGACATATTTCCAGTTTTAGCCTAACACCTTCATCCCAGTAGTTAAGAATTTCTGTAACAATAACCATAACTCTGGGACCATAATCTGAAAAATATTCTTCTTCTACATTAAAATATGGTGTGATGTAGGAATCATCACTTGCCAAATTTCGAAGGTCTAAACCTTCCTGCACATGGAAACACCCATAGATGCTACTTATGATGTACAAAATGTATACAAGCACTACAAAAAATTTGGACTCAGTTCTTGTGAGAAAAGGGCCAAAATAGTCTCGAAAGAACACATTCATTGGATGGACATCAGTTTCTTCTTCGTCCGGGAGAGAATCACATGGGATACAGCAGGATCTTTTTAATGAGGAACATTTTTGGTCAGGAGTTTCTGGCTTTTTCAACCAGCGTAGACAGACTCTTTCTCTTTTACCATCCAGGGCCATAAATGCCCCAAAACAGGTGATGTTATAGAAATAACAAAAGAGCAGGGTTGTTCCTGTATAGATGCAAAAGTACTGTATGGACCTGAAAGATGTCATAATCCCTGTATAGAAGGCCAGGACATTGGTGATGGTGGTAATTGTAATCGAGACTGCCACTTTGGAATAGACACTGGACAGACGCTGTTTTATGTTATCCATGAGGCTGGTCTTCTGCCAGGCAGAAATCATGATGAACATATCATCAACCCCGACACCTGTTAAAAAAAAAAAAGAAGCCATCTTCATACATATTAATATCCATTAAAAATTAAATGCATAAACTCAAACCATCTTCTTTGTCCATCTCTTAAGGTCTGATTTATCTCGTCCAATCTGTGCTTTGATACTCTGTTCTCTGTTTCCTCCTTTGGTTGCCTCTGAAGCCACAGCAGAATTCAGCCCTTCCTCTGTAACAACTCTGGGCTTTGTACGTCCTCCTGTTATTTGTACATAGCATGGGATAGACCAGATACTCTGCTCCTAGTCTTCGTGCAGGGCGTTTTAACGATGAGTCAGGAAACCTGTTGTGGATGTTAGCTGAAGCAGGATTAGCAACGTTATCTTTGATTCCACTGGATTATCTGAGAGACCATTTTCCCTCATAAACCATTTTACACAAATGTACAGACACATTGAGCCAACATTCTGTTGCTTAAAATATAAGCTGGATTTATCTGTTCTACAGTTAGCACCTAAGTATCAATGTGGTAGGATTTGAGAGGCACTGCATAGTACACACACACACACACACACACACACACACACACACATCGTTTTCCTCCAAGCCTGTTTTTGATACCCAGAATGTTATCACTTAAACTTAAACTTTCCCAGGTTAAGGCATTATTATTAAAATGCAAGTACTCTTGAGATCAGACATGTGCACCAAAGTAAATCTCAAGAATCCCTTGCATAGGGGCGCCTGGATGGCTCAGTGGGTTAAAGCCTCTGCCTTCGGCTCAGGTCATGATCCCAGGGTTCTGGAATCGAGCCCCAAATTGGGCTGTCTGCTCAGCAGGGAGCCTGCTTCCCCCTCTCTCTCTCTGCCTGCCTCTCTGCCTACTTATGATCTCTCTCTGTCAAATAAATAAATAAAATCTTTAAAAAAAAAGAATCCCTTGCATATTAATATCTACTAGGTAATCCTTTTCCATAAAGATGTTTCATGATGGAATAGAGAAGACAGAACATTTGAGAACTTTGAAATCACCACTGAAAACTTGGAAAGGAGGACTAGAAAGAAGAAAGGGTATAGTGAGGATAGCAAGAGCATTTGCAGATAAGTTTCACCTGCCTCAAGCTTTCTGCTAGAGTTGACACTACTTTCACCCATGTATATTGATACAAACTCAATAAAATAAACAAGGAAATACACAAGGTGGAATAAAATGCTAATCTCCACTTCAATTTGGGGGTATCTTCTCCATGGGAGGGTACTAAGAATTGCAACTTTGTCTCTAATCAGATGTTCTCTGGGTATGATCAAGCAGGCAGAAGGATCTAAATTAACATAAGGCTACCCAGAATGTCACAAATGCATCCTGACATCCCATGGCTAGCGGCCTTGAGGATTTCAGTTGTACTCAGCTGGACAAAAGGGAAGAATCAGAAGTACTAAGGACCAAGAATGAACTCATTGATATTTACAAGGTATTTAAAAACTATTTTTATTTTTTTTTAAGATTTTATTGAGAGATCACAAGTAAGCAGAGAGAGAGGAGGAAGCAGGCTCTCTGCTGAGCAGAGAGCCCGATGCAGGACTCGATCCCAGGACCCTGAGATCATGACCTAAGTTGAAGGCAGAGGCTTAACCCACTGAGCCACCCAGGTGCCCTAAAAACTAGTTTTATTATTTATAGAACCTTATTCAGAAATTGTCCTCACACACTTCTTGAGTTGCTTAAATCACACACACACAGAGCCATTCACACTCCTGTGAATACGCAAACTATACAATCCTGGTTTACATGAAATCAATTACATACACCTTAACTTTGTTATTAGTGGCTGTGGGGGTGGTGGTGAGTGACTAAGTATGGCTGTGTACCAGGAAGAGATGCCCTGACATCCAGCATACAGCTCATCCACTGTCTCCCCTAGGAAACCAAATATTACCTCTTCCAAGCTCCTTATTTTCTCAAATAGAAACACCTTTGTTTTCTCATGCATATTATAAAATAAATTCTGAAAGTACAGGAAAATATGGAGAAAAAATTTAAACAGCTATAATTCCACCCTTCATTTTTACATATATCCATCCAGAATTTGCTCTATACAAATACACCAATACAACTATATCTTTCTATTTTGAACACCCTGTTTCATAACAAGCATTTTTCTGGTAGTGGTTATTATATCTTATGTCTACCTTATATATCTTATAAATCTACCTCTTTCTAAGGACTGAATATGATTCACAATTTTAATATGCTACATTTGAGTTGCCCAATCCCATGTGATAGGTAATTAAATGGTTTTCAAAACCTTCCTGTTCTAAATAATGCCAAAGTGAACATGCTTTTACTTTTTGAGCACTTGTCCAATTATTAGGACAAATTCCTAGGAAGTGGAATCAGTAAGTCAAACACATTCCCTGTTTAATTTTTAAGTCTTTTGATTTGCAAAACTGGACTAAAAAAAGGGTGTACCAGGTTACAGTTTTCCCCTAGCAGGATGAGTGTTCATTTCCAAACAACCTTCCTTCAATCTTGCCGATATTCATTAATCCGATATGAAAACAAGGTGTCTCATTTTTGTTTTAATTTGTATCCCTTGGTTAATTGAGAGGTCAATTTTTTTTTCTTATTATTTCTAGTAATTCATATTTTGGATTTGGGTGTGACCCATCTGTTCATGTCCCTTGTCTGTGTTTTTTCATTTGGGGTGCTAGATTTTCTCCCTCTAAAGACACACAATTCAATTTTATTTTCTTTTTTCCTGTCACCTCATGTTGGATCTATAGAACCACCCAAATATAATTATTTTGCTTAATCAAACCTAAACTCCCTCTTTTATCTACCCCACACCCCCACATATACAACATGTAGCCTCATGTTTTGTTTTACTCACCCAGAATAAGAAATGGTGAATTTGCAACTATGATCACAAATGGCACCCCCATGTACAACATCAGGCCAAAGCCGCTCACCACTGCCAAGGCAGCAGAAATCACCCCAAAGGCTGCAGTCCACATTTTGTTACGTACGCAGTCCCACATGTAAATTTGGAAGGAAAAATCATGGGATTTGTGGTGGTAGGTTCTATACTGAAATTCCATCAGTCTGTAACATTTTTGACTTGGACACCTGTTCAGAAGGCTCTTGGGCAGTAATTCCCATACTAGTCTAGTGAAGACCTTTAATTCCCAGGCACTATCCCAGACCAAGTGGGAAAAAGGAGAGAGGGAACAGAAAATCTATTTGAGCTTTTACAAAACTTTCTAGGTGATTCTTCTGCAGCTAAGCAAGCAACTACTCCACTGATTGGTAGTCAAGAACCACAGAGTTATACTAAAACACTCCTGATGGTTAATTCCACTCTGCTCTTCAAAAGGTATAAAGGACTACAACAGCAAAGGGAGGGCAAGCCTTAGCAGAGTAAGTATCCATATCCAGTGCTCTTTTCACCCAATCCTTGACTCCAGCTCACCATAGATGCAAGCCTAAATAGCTCATGTATTTCAGAGCCAGTTCAATATGTATTTTGGTTAGCAAAATGTAGAAAGACTCCTCCTAAGACATTTTCAGGATTTTCATCTACTGCTGAAGTGGGCTCTAGAAAAGTTGCTACTAATTGCAAAAGAATTGGAAATGTAGTCCATTTAGAATAACACAGCCTGGGCCTATTTCCCAGAAGTGGGAGTATATAGACAGCATTTTAAAGTATGAGTTCATTACTTTACCTACCCAACAGCCACAACATTTTACTTTTTTAAAAGATTATTTATTTATTTGTCAGAGAAAGAGAGAGGGGGGGAGCACAAGCAGGAGGAGTGGCAGGCAGAGGGAGAAGCAGGCTCCCTGCTGAGCAGGGAACCTGATGTGGGACTTGACCCCAGGACCCTCTGATCATGAC